AATAACTTTCCAACTTTATGCTTATTTCTTAGTATTTTTCATGCAATAAAAGAAAGCAAGATTTCTAAACTGAAAAAAAGAAAATCTTATTTTCATGATTCTTGGGTAGGGTTTCCAAACTTTTGCAAGGCATTCTTGATAGCTGACAAATATCTAGGCTAAAAAAAAAAAAAAAAAAAAAAAGTGAAGAGAGAATTCTCCAAGTGAATGTCTCAGAAGGAAGGAGAGAGAAAGAGAGAGAGAGAGAGGAAAAAAGAAACCAAGCACACAAACACAGAATTAATTGTTCAATTTATGATTCACAGTATGTTATTGAAGAGAATGCAAATTTGTTAATTTTTATTTTTTTTTTTTTTTTTGTTTTTTAACATTCTTTTCACATTCAGTATTTTCAAATGTGTATATGAAATGGCCCCTTCATTAGAATTTCATCTAATTTGGGTCAAGGTCATTCATAGTAAAGTCAGTAAACAATTACAAGCCTGTTTTGACTTTCTGTTTCAATCATATTTACTTCTCTTCTGATAATTATTTACTAAACTTAGCATAGACTAGTATAAGGCACCAAGATTTGAGCATCCAATAAGGATTGAACTTCCACTAGCAATGGTCTGTGACCATCACTGTATTGCAGATGTAATTTTTAAATATTTACTAAGTTTAACTTAGTCTGGCACAAACTGGCACAAAGCTATATTAATAGAGCATCCAGTAAAGACTGAATGCATGAGTGAAATGGTCTGAGAAATAAGCTTGATAAACATCAAACCCAATTCCTTTTTTTCTTAAATAAAATATATGCTCTATTTAAGATAAATCAAACTTTTTAAAAATAATTTCAAATTTAATATTTAAAAGCAATAATTAGAATTGATTTTTAAAGGTCAAATAAGAGCTTAAAATTTAAAGTAATTATTTTTAATTTCTTTTCTAAAACATTTTAAAATTGAGTATTTAAAATTTATAAAGCTTTTCTGATATATGTCAGAAGAGAAAATAAGTTGAGTGGCAGTAAAAATAATAATTTGATGAGTAATAATTAAAATCTATCAGTATTTTATAATCTTAAGAAAACAGCAATTTTATTATTTTCTTAATTTTCTCAAACTTTAAGGCCCTTATATTTAAAAAAATTAACATATATAACAGCATATAATAAAACAATTTTCTTATAGCATTTAATAAACTGATCTTTCTTTTAAACAAAATTTGATAGAAAACAAAAGACAAGAAGGAATTGTTTTGGAAAGAGTCATCATCATTCCAAGGTTATATTTGAATTCATTCTTTATAAAGCTTTTGTTGTTACCACAATGTATTTTTTTTTTAACAGAAATCATTGATGAACAGAGATAGAATAGTGGCAAATATACTGACCAGTAAAACTAATTTCTGGCATAGGTGATTTTACATGTGGAGATACTCTCCAAACTTTTTCTTACTGAACAAAGAAATCCCAATCAACTTGCCTTATACATCTTTTCATCAGTTTAATGTATGCTATTTCATTCAATTTACTTACTTTCTAATGATGTCCTTATCTATCACATGACTATTTGGAATGAGGCTCAAGTAAAAGAGAAATAATATCACAAGCATGCAAGAAAATTGAAAGAAGCCACATACATTAACATGAAGGACAGATGCATAAAGTCAATGTGGATTTCAGTGTGGGCAGAATTTCTTTGTTCAGCAGAGAGGAAATTCATATGTTAAAAAAAAAAAAAAAAATGGAATTACCTGTATATAAATTGTTTGGTGTAAGGTGACTATAAAGGAGGCAGCCATATTGGATTAATTGCTGACCAGAGAGATTACATTTTAATACAAGGAGAAGAATATAGTTATGGAACAGTGTAAGATAAATAATACGACTTGTTCATATAAATAAATATCTAAACTTATGGATGACAGCAGTTACATGAATTGAAAGTATGATATCAGTATTTGGTCTAAATTTACTGAATTACCAAAAGAGAATAAGGCAATGGCAAATCACTTTTCTTTAAGAGTCAGCACTAGAACTGCATTATCTGAAGTTTATGTTAATGATTTGAAGAGAAGTGGAAAAAAAAAACTGGTATAGATATTCTTCGGGAAATATTTTTTCCTGATAAAGACTGGAGACAATTTACTGCTTTTCCCCCAATTTTTACATATTGCATCAATTCACTAGCATGATGGCCTTTAAACATCAAGTAAACTTCAAAAAAAGGCAACACTCCCCTTATAATGTCAGTTATTGAAAATGTGATTTATAAACATATGAAATCTCATTAAAAGCATGAATTTGGACATAAGTTTTCTAATTAGAATAATGCCTCAGATAGCAGGAATTTTTTTGTTTGATATCATTTTCGACAGATTACACACCTGAAGAAAGCTGCAGAATGGTTCAGCGCAAATAGTGGTAACAACAAAAAGTATAAAGAAACAATTCCATAGTCTGAACAACTTTTGATAAAAAATAAAAACAAAAAAAAAACAAAAAAATCACGTTTTTAGGGCAGTTGATATGTTATACCAATAACCTATAAAACATAACTGTTGCTTACCAGATTTCCCATAGATCAAGTGGACTAATAAAATCAGATAAATTACCATCTTTCAAAGAATCCATTTCCAGAGAGTTTGGAGACAATTCAAAAGAATCTAACATTAGCTTCTTTGAGCTTGTTGGAGTCTGTACCAGAGCATTATCTGTTAATGATTTCCCTGAGGACAATAGGATTTGGCTTGGAGACAGAACTGGACTATCTTTCCCAGATGGAGATAATGATTTCACAGTAGACAAAGTGTTGAAGCTGGTGTTTGTAGCAGTGTGTAAAAGCTGAGACAAAGTTTTGGTATTATCTGGAGAAGTGGTTTCAATCTCAGAACGAGATGTATCCATAAGACTCAGATCTTTATAGACGAGTTTCTGTTTACGTCTGCTTTTTCTGTCCAATGGAAGTTTTTGTCTTCGAATACTTCGTTCTGAAAGTTGCAATTCTTGAACTTTTGATTTTGTTGTTTCAGTGTTTTTTGCACAGATTCGTTTCGGACGGTCAGGAGACCAAACAGAACAAGAAGGCTGATTAGTAGACTGCAAGACTAGGGGTTTGGCAACAAGTTGTCCATCAGGGTTAGGGGTATTAATTTGGTTGGGAGCAAGAGGAGACAAGATTGGACTTTGCTGATAAAGTAAAAAATCCTTGGCAGTAATGTCAATGTCAGGTGATGTTGAAATTGGTGTAGAAGTTACAGGAACATGAGATGAAGTTGACTGAGCAATCACATGGCTTCCAGGCATAAATGAGGTGGAACCTAAAATTGTTACAACATAAAAAATAAGACAAAATAGTTTAACTATATTGCAAATAGCAGTAATACCAGTGTTTGTTTGTGTCATTCAGACATGAATTTATTTGTGTGCTATTAAGATGTGTGTGTGTGTGTGTGTGTGCATAAACGTTAAAGAAAATCTGGGCATGTGCACTTTAGTACATAAGCATTATAGTAAAAGTGCATATAAGCATTATAGTAAAAGTGCATATAAGCATTATAGTAAAAGTGCATATAAGCATTATGAAAATGTGCGAGCGTATAAGTGTTATAGGAAACATTCGTGGGAATAAGCACCATAGAATACATGTGTGCGCGTGCACATGCGTTAGAGGAAAGACGTGTGCGCGTACACAAGCCTTAGAGAAACGTGTGTGTGTGTGTGTGTGTGCGCGCGCATGATCACAAGCGTTACAGAAACGTGCGCGTGTGCGCATGCACAAGAGTCATAGAAAACGCGTGCACAAGAGTCATAGAAAACGCGTGCGCGCATGCATAAGAGTTATAGAAAACGTTTGAGTGCGCGCACTCGCATAAGCGTTATAGAAAATATGTGCAACGTTGACGAAGATTATAAAATGTCAGTGTGTATGCGCCAGATTTGATGTATGTACTTCCTTGAAGATGCGAGTGTCATATGCGCCACATTGAATATATTCATATGCGATTCTGTTATTATTCAAGTAACAGGTTTTTGTGTTATTATTGAAGATGACTATTATTTTTATTGAAGCAATCAAAGGGAGATTATCGTATTCTTCCAGAGAATTTTCACATATTAAATGATGTACACATGCATGCATATATGCTCACAAAGACACTCACATAAATTTACAGACCAACACATACACATAGATAAAGACTTGCAAAAACGCATATGGGTACCCAGATATGTATATATGTAAATACATAATCACTTGACAGTTTTTAAAAACTTTTATGAAAAAAATAAAATGCAAACATTTTTCTGATTGGTCTTGCTATTCAGTGATGTCTGGATAGCATAACAGTTATCAGTTTGGAAAAGGCCTGTTCCAACCGAATCTGTTGTGTTCACTTTATATGAATACCTTTGGGAAAGGCATGAATTCATTTCTTCTTTCCCCAGCTATAAGTTTTAATCTGTTTACAGCAGGACAGATCGGATTCTCTATCATTGGGTAGCAGCCAATTTAGGAAAAGGGCAACTCTGTATTCAAAAACTAAGCAGAAGGTAAAGGGAAACTACTCCGGTATCTTTCCCAGGAAATCATGGCAATTCACAGATAATAAAGAAAATGAATCTGTGGAGAAGGCAATGGGAAATCACTCCACTATATTTCCTAAGAAGTCATGATAATTCACAGATAAAGAAAAGGAATCTGTGGAGTGTCATGATTAACTATGTTCTGGGGGAGACATGGCATTTTTCAAGAGTTTTTTTTTTTTTTAACTTTTCTTTTACTCTAACATTCCATAAAGAATTTTAATGGATCACAATTTTTACACCTTTCCATTTCTACCTGCCTATCAATAAGTAAAAGACTGTCTCCTTGATTTTTTTTTTCTCCATTGAAAAGTATATGTATAAAAAAAGATTTTATATATATTTTTCTTTTTAGTTTACCCTCTGAAACATTTTATTTAGCAAATTTCCTTGTTCTTATTTATTCTATATGGAAATTATTAAAAAGTTATTATTCACCTGATGTATTTTGAGTTGATGATAACTGCGGAATGAGAGGAATGTTATTCTGTGAAGGGTTGCAGAAGTACTGTAGGGGGACTAAGACATAGGTCTGTGGATCCACACTCGGTCGAGGAAGAATGGGAAGAGGTCCTGAAACCAAAAAGAAAATTTACAAGAGTGAATTATTTTCATTCCCAGATAATACTGTCAATACCAAACTGTTAAAATTCAGATCGCTTTAATTAGAATTTTTAATGATTCTTATGAACAACTGAAATAATTTCTTTTTTTTTTTTAAATCTCATAACTATTCAGAGATATAGACAGTGTTAAATTTTAATATGCAAGTTAGTGTTTCAAAATAAAATTACTATTAACCAACCAATGTTGGTAACATTTTCAGAAGATACTTATATTATTATAAATATAAATAAGTTATAGTTTATATATTCTTATTAAAAATAGTGATAATATTGTTTGTGGGGAAAATGTAACAAATTTGTGTTTATAAATCCAAATTATAGTTCATAAAAATTCAACTCAAATTAAAGAAATAATTTTTGTTTTTAAACATTTCACCCTAAGTAAGGTGATAATGCCACTAAGATGCAAAGGGTTACTGAGGTTGAAATAAAATGAGAAGACTTTAGCAGAAGGAACCTGAAACCCAATCCTAAACAGGAAACCAGGGATAAACATCAACTCCTGTTCAAAAGATGAACCAGGTGATAGGTTTGGCTATTTTCTGGTTCACACACCTTCACTGTCTTTTGAACAGGAGTAGATGTTTTATCTCTTGTTTTCTATTTAGGATTGTTTTTCCAGTTCCTTCTAAAGCTTTCATGTTCTTTTAAGTAACCCCCTTGCATCTTAGTGGCATTATTGCCTTGCTTAAAGTGAAATGATTTAAAAAATATATATATATTTTACATATTAATATGTGCTCCTTGACATTCTGTAACCTTCAACAGTCTTTCTTTATTAATTTTCCTACTGTTTTTATTTTAACATAGATTGGGAGTTTTTTTTTTTTTAATGCTTCCTAGAAATTTTCTTTGTTTTCCATTCTCATATACATCTTTTTTCACTGATAGAACATTAGTTTCTTTTCTTTGAATTACTATCTAGAAATACTGAGGCATATATCCATTAATTTGGGGTTTTTTTGGGGGTTTTTTTTTTGAGAAGGTGGACAATAGTTAGGTTTGCATTTTAAGAGTGACTGTCACTTTTCTTTTACTTATTTGGAAATGGTCATGGGTTGAAAAGTGCAGTATTACAAAATTTATTACTAAATCCATGTAATTTACACAAGTTTTAAATATTCTATATCATTTCTTTCCATTTATATTCACAAAACTAACTTTTCCAAATAGAATGAGGAAAGACAGACACACACACAATCCATGCTCACAAACATGATGAACAAATAAAAAAAAGAAAGAAAGAAAGAAAGAATGCATTCATGGAATTTGTTTTTATTTCATTCAAATTGGAATATTAACCAAAGTTTTGTAATTCTTCTTCAAGAGTTGTGTTTCTGTAGCAAAAAATAGAAAACAAAGTCTTACCTTAAAAAAGAATTAGCATTCTTTGTGCTCAAAAAAGAAAATCAGAAAAATAATTGGGCCAACTTTAGTAGGCCTTGAAATATAGTAAATTGTTTGTGCTTCTTTACTAGTCTCGACCAATCACAGCCTGTCTCACTCCAATAAAAAAGCTACTTTGAAGGACTGGCAGTCTTAGTTCTTCATGAGTGAAGAAGGTGTGTTGGGAGTCTTAGATACAGAGTTTTTATTTTTTAGAATGTTGCAAATATAAAATAATTCTTGTAAATAAACTAGCTAATAAATGATGTTTAATATTTTTGTTGTAAATTCTCAAGAACAAAAAAAAAAGAAAAGGTATAAATTCACTTTCATCATGTTTTTAGGTTTTATTACAATTTTAATCATTGCTTTTTAAAACAATAAACATTATCAAAGAGTGAAGGTAGTTAAAAGGTGATGTCATGGGAAAACCATCCTTTTGACACTATATGTTATTGAGGGAACATTTATTCATGTTTGTCATAAAAAATACTTGTACAATCAAACAAAATGCTTACCTTTCTTTTTCAACTTAACTTTCTGTCGAGCACTGGGAAAATTCACCTGAGGTTGTGGATTTAAATTTCTAGTTGGAAATTTATTGAGTGTGTTAAAAACATGAACTGCAGAAACTGGAGAATTACAGTTGGAAACTGGTGTTTGGCATTCTGTGCCTGAAAATGAAGAAATTATTGTGTGACAATCAGTTTGTCTCATGTATGACATGCATAATAGAACAAAATGGCTAATAGAACTTAATGACTACGCCATTGGATTAACTAAACAAGGTTTTTCTTCATTTTTTTTTTTATATTGTCTATAATTTCAACCCCTACCTTCTTTGTTGTTTGTCATTACAAAATAAATTTTAAAAAAATGAAAATAATGAATCATTCCAAAAATTTAACAGGAAAAATAACAATGAATGAATACCATCATATGAAAAACTCCTGGAATGAATACCATCATATGAAAAACTCCTGGAATTTGTAATCAAAGGAACTTTCTAATGATGAAAGAATACTAATTTCAAAAATTTTCCTCTACAGTAAATGTACTCAAAATATCAAAGTGTGAAGCAATTCTGACAGAAATAATGCTGTATAACAAATGTGCAGGTCATATCACTTATCAATGCACAAAAGCGAATTAACACTGCAGAATTCAAATTCCAGTTTATTGTTGCATTTACTTTCACACAAGTGTACTTAGGAATCCATATCGGTTAAACAGTAGGATAGACTGGTCTCCCTAATCTTGGGTAGCAGCATGTCTAGGAAAAAGTACTCTGAATTCCAAACTGTGGAGAAAACAACAAGAAATCACTCCACTATATTTCCCCAATATCATAGCAATTTTGAATAAAAAAAAAGGAATCTGTTGAAAGCCATGATTACCTGTGTTCTGAAGGAATGTAGCATAAAAACAAAATGTTGCATACTTAGAGGCAAAATTTAGGATTATGAAACTAAGAAAAAAAATTACATAAATGAATTCTAACAGTGCTGTATTAATCTCAAAGCAAAAACTATTTTTGCCATGAGAATCTTTACATATAATGGAAAAATCAGTTCTGAACAGGTAAATACTCTAGTATGGCAACTTTTTGACTTGTCTTTATAGTATATATGAAAATGGAAATTTTATTCCATAACAAAAATTACCCACACCTTGGTGTGTGTCACTTTTTTTTTTTGTAAGAAAATGATGATTGATTTTAAAACATTGTTATAATTTGTGAAGAAAAATGATGCATTTCAATATTACTCAATGATCTTACTGATGTGACCTCCATCTTCTGGCTTTCTCCTCCTATATTTTGGATAGGAGTCATTTCCTTGTTTAAATTTAAATTTAATTTAAATCAAAAGCAAATAAATTTTCAGTGGGAGGTTTGTGCAAGGAACCCTCTTTGATCAAAATAAAATATACTTATCCAAGTACCTTAGGAGTCATTCCCTTGTTAAAATTGAAATTTAATTTAAATCAAAGGGGAAAAAATTTCAGTGAAGGGTGGGGGTTGTTTTGATTAAATTTCAATTTTGTTTATGTTCAAAATTTTGAAAAAAAAAAAAAAAAGGAAAAAGTGTGATCCCCACCAGAAAATACTAAAAGTCAATCAAATTTAATGTCCATGAGGAACTTTCAGCTAAGAAAAGTTAATCTGTAACAACCCCAATATATACTTGATTCACCCTAAGAGATACTAAAGTAGGTTTTGTACTCAGTGTTACCTCAATGTCAAACGAGCCTTTGAGAGCTGAACAAACGTAGAAGTAGGCTTCAGTGTGTGCACTAACATAAGCAAGAAGTGAACTGAGTTGAACATGGGCTATACAGACACTTATAGTTAGTCCTGTTAAAAATAAATTATATATAACAAAAAAAATTCAACTTAAAATAAGGCATTTGTTTATCTTTAAAACCTTTATCTCTTTCTCTCTCTAAATTTCTCTCTATATGTGTCTCAACTAACGAGAAGGCAACCCTCAAATAAAGAGGAAAAGAAGGAAAAGACTGAACCTGGCAAAAAATGGCAGAAGTTTGCAGGACCAGTGCCTACTTATTTATAACTATAATTCTACCAAAATAAGACAGGCTCCACACATAACTTCTGCTATGACAAAAAAAAAAAAAAAAAAAAAAAAAACAAAAAATAAAATTATTTTGGCCAATCCAAAAAAAAAAAATCAACACAAAGAAACTTTTGATGTTAGCTGAAATCAAGGTTTGTGCCAGAGTCTGTGAGCCAGGTCAAAAGCTCTGAGCTAAATGAGGGGAGTGATAGCAAGAGAAACCACAGAACAAGAGATGTGACTGCTAGAAAAACCAGCTATGTGTAGTGCAAGAAGTAGTTAAGAGGTCATCTGCTAACAATATTTCTGTCCTTCCTAGGACCAGGAAAAAAAACAGTAGTTGACACTGACCTATTTCTATGATGACTACTACTAGCAAGGTCTGACTTTGAACTACCCACTACTGAAGTGAAACAGACATTTCTCCAGACTGTGACTAATATCCGTGTTATAAATGAACGTTTTCTACACCGAATATCAAAGGACTCACTAAGTCAAATAAATAAAAATGTATTATTTGAGTCCATTTTATTCCAAAGTTTCCCGTAAATAAATACCAAAAATACCCAACTCCTAACACAAGACAAGAAGTGAATAAACATTTATTTCATGTATGAAAAATTCAGTCTTGTATTCTTACCAAATGTTATTAACATAACATTACAAGAATTTATGTTGAAAAGTGAATAACTTCAGTTTTGAAAGTGAAAACAAAGAAAGGAATGGATAATAACTGTAACATTAGCCACAAGATAATTCCTAAGAGTTTTCTTTACTCTGGGCTTTATTCTGGCAAAGAATCTAATGACTCAATTCATAGTAATGAAAACAATGATTTTCCTGGAGTGTCTGACAAGATATTTTGTGAGAAATTTTATGGTTTCATAGCTTGGCAATGAATCAGATATTGATTCAGTTCATAGACCACAATGAACACAGTGAGCACAGCAATTGTCCATGGCTAAAGAGTTATTTTGAAAAATAGCTCACAGAAATATACTGGCTTCAAGTAGCTGAATATAACTAACAACAACCCAACTTGCAAATTTCTAAATCTACCATTCGTCCATACATTGAATATTGCTACCGTATTTGGTCTGGTGCTCTGACTATATATCTTGAGACTCTTGACAAAATTCAAAGAGTCTGTAATGTTAGTGGCTCTGACTTGGCATCTCAATTTTAGTCACTTTCCCATCACCGTGATGTGGCTTCCCTCTGTCTTTTCTGTAAATATTTTCTTGGTAGTTCATTAGAGCTCTTCTCCTTGGTACTTTGAACCGCTTTAAGCATACTAGTAGATTTGTTACTTGCTCTCTATGTTTTACTGTTGAAACAGGTAGATGTAACAGTAAATTACTTTCTAATAGTTTTTTTCTCACCTGTGGAACTCTTGTTATAGACAAGCGTATGGTTGCAAGAAAGAAATATGACAACAGTAGAAATAGATTTACATGATTTATTTCAATAGGAACATGTGGTTTTGGGACAGCTACCTTGTGGTATAGTTCATAGGCCGGCTGAAGATTTGGGTTGATCTCTCATAGTAGTTCTCGCTGGTTGGCATGACGCTACTGCTGCTGCTGACCGCTCAGCCTGACCATGACAGGTCTCTTCCCTGGCCTCCTGTTGACTGCCGTTGTACCTCCGTGTGACCCCTTTTTATGGCATTGTTTTTTATGGCTTAACAGGTTCGAAAAACAACGCAAGTATAATTAGGAGGGGAGCATTTTTATTGGTCGAAAAATAGAAACACTTTAAAATATTATTTTATTTTTCGACCAGAACTCGTGCATCAGAAACATGTGTAAACGAAGATGGTCATTTTGTGATGGGGCCTTGTCCCGTTCACATCTGGCTCTTGCTCTTGAGTATGTTAGTTTATTTGCCTGTAAATCAGCCGAGATATTTTATGGCTTCCCCGCTGCCTACAATCTTCAAAACTTTAAATGCAGCATCAATTGCCATCTTCCTGTTCTTTTTCCTCAATACAGTTTTTTCATTCTATTCATTTTCAGTAATCCCTAGTGCTTTAGTGACATTATCACCTTCATGGGATAAAATGATTAAAAAAAAAAAAAAAAAAAAAAACACAGACACACACTAACACTATGATTACATTGATAGTTATAGTATAAAAGTAAATTCCAACCTGAAGGCACCTGTGGTGACATTGCTGGCTCTTTGAGACTGGATGTCAGCTTCCAATATGAACCATATTTGGGAGATTCCTTCACAAACAATTTACTTACAGAAAGATTATGCCGAATAGAATCCTAAAGAGAAAAATAAATAAAAATGTATAAATTTAAAATGACAAAAGAAAAATGTTTTAATGAATTAATTTTTATACAAGGATGAATGAGTGCTTGGCAGATAAGTCTTCAATATTTGCTTATTCAGAAGAATTAAGTTTTGACTTGGATCTCATAGAAAAATCATGAAATTCCACTAAACTAAATTTATTCCAAATTATTTTTATTTTCAATTCTTGCATAGCCTCTATAACTCATAATGCTTGTAAAGAAAAGCTTTAAAAATCTATATAAATTATGATTTGGTAAAACAAAAAAATTAGATTCAAATTATAGTGGATACATTAGTAAGACATTCTATTAATGTTTCAGTCAAAATTAAACCTGTTTTTTTTTTTTAATTATTAAGATACGATATCAATACTGAGCAAATACCAACTAAAAATTTAATTGTAATTTATGGAGAAAGATAAAATTACACAATATTTAAAACATGCAAGTTACAACTTTTAAGCATGTATAGTTATTAAGTTATTTGAAATTTTATATTCTTCAAGTAACACTTTCAAAGAGCCAAGATGAACCAAGTATTTTTCTGTTAAATATTTGCATGCATTTTGTGTCTACTATTATGTCCACATGCCAGATATAAATTAAGGACAATATATCAAGTTGTCAGTCCACATGTAGTCCTAGAAGTAGACAGATCGAACATTCTTAAGTCAATATAGAAAGAGGAGTAAATAAAAAAAAAAAAAAAAAATTTTCCTGTGTCTAGTCCATTTTCTGTTGTATAATAAGAACTCTCTTCATAAGAAACTGGACTAAAAGGAAAAACAATTTTTTTGTAAATCACTTCAACTCCTTGTGGAAGAGATGAATATTTTTATGGGGCCAAAATCTCACCCCCTCAATCTGAAACTGAATTCAGTACCCAACTATTTTTTTTTTTTTATAAAAGTAAACAGTTTTTAGTAAAATAAATACAATTATACCATATATATATATATATATATATAAAATATTTGGGGTTTCCAGCATAGAGCTTTTTTTTTTTTTCTCAGACCATTTGGAAATGTAAAATATTCTGTCTACATTGGATGCATTAATGTTGTGTTCCTGTGTCAAATTAAGCTAAGTTTAATAAAACCATGTACAGTTCAGATGATAAGAGACATAATGTAAAGAGATAATAGATGACAAGTTGAATTTGGACCTCAATGATTTGCATTTTAAAAGAAATCCAAAATGGAAATATGTTTTTAAAAATCAGATAATTAAAGTATTCTTTCTTATAAGTTTATTCATACATTAAAAAAAAAAAAAAAAAATTACTGAAAAAAAAAAAATAAATAAACAAAACTAATTTAAATAGATAAAAAAATGTCACATGACACTAACAAAGTCTATACGATTTATCCAACAGATAAAAGGTTCAAAAGTATTGACACAAACACAAATTATCAATCAAACTTACTAGACAAACAGATACTCCCCACTCCCTCTCTCAAAGTGTGGAAGAAAAAAAAAAATCGAAGAGGAAGAAAAAATATTGAAATAAAGAATTAAATTAAAAACCTTAAAAAAATTTTTTAAGTTTTAAATAGATTTAAAAATAAAAAAGAATATTTCTTAAGAAAAAAATCATTTTTAAAAAAATAAGTTTTTAGAAATAAATTTTCAAAATATCTTTAAATTAAAAGACTTTCATCTTTAAAATTTTATTTTTTTTAAATTTATAAAATAAAAAAATGCTAAATGGATTTTTAAATTTTATATAAAAATGTTTACACAACAGGTATTATGGCTACGAAATTATTCGAATTTAAAAAAATTATTGTTGAATGCAATAAATCAAGGGGAGTAACTTTTACAATAATCCAAGTGACTACAAATGTCTACTAATAATGACTACTAATAATCATTGTAAAATAAAGTGATTACTAATAATCATTGTAAAAATACTAAAAAAAATAAATAAATAGATAAACAAATCCAATTCACCTTCCAGCCAGGATTTGGGGAGTTCTTATAAAAAGGATATGTATTCTCCACCCATTGCCGAATCTCTTTAAGTGTCATTCTTTTATCCTGACGACTATTCAAAGCTGCCTTGATCAGTTTCTCATAGGAATGAGAAGGACGCTTATTGAATTGTGGGTCACTCTTTGGTGTCTAAGAAAAATAAATTGGAAAAAAAACAGTTTGTAGTTGATGAGCATGAGCAGTCAATCATTTCAAGTTAAAAAGGTTTACAACTTAAAAAAATTTATTCAAATTAACATCCATATCTATGTGTTACAACAAAGGTTTCAATTGGCTTTTCTCTAACCATTAAGTTACTATAACATCTGTTAAGTAAAAGCCAATATTCTTTTGCAGCTATTTGAACTAGGATCCATTCAGTAGAAAGAAAAGGATTTTTAATAACAAGAGCAGACAAAGCTTGTAATACTGGTCATGATCAACATTGAATTGGAACAAAATGTTCTGCACCCCACCCTCATCATACTGGTCCAGCGATTTAGAATTACAAATATTAGTGCAATGTTGAGGTGAATATACTGGCAGAACAAATCAGTGGTTGGAGGCTAGCAATTTATCAACACATACCAGTTAAGATCCGTTGAGAGCAATAGGAAAATTTGTATATACATCCTATCATGCAACTGCAGAACACTTAATAAATAATTTGACTTTTGTCTTGCCTTTCACCAGTGATATTTCACAGTAGTCAGCAGAGTAGATTTGGATTATGATCAGAGTGCTTGATACTATTTATATTAAGTCTAAGCAGCCTTCCTTATGTAAGCATAAGGTATGACTACTGGGTTTAAATGTAATCTGTAAGATTTATACTGTTGATTCTCTGGTAGTATTTTCTTCTCTTTTAGTCACTGTGCATATAGTTGTAAGTTTTGTCCTTGATTGGCTCTGAAGATTGAAGAGCAATAACCAGTCAGCCCCCACTTTTTCTGATTGTTACATATTTTTGAATCCACCATTTTACAGTAAGTATTCTTTCTTCTTTATCCTTGTTCTTATATATATATATATATATATATATACACACACACACTAACAGCATGGCCCAACGTTGCCCGTGCTTGATTCAAAAAATCATACGACTCATACAGCAATCGCCATCACTTGACTTAAAATATTTTTGCCCTTCCTTGCCTTTAAAGGAGTGCCCTTTGCCATGCTGATGTTGCTACATGCCTTACTTCTTGCATATCTCACACTGCAAATTTTTTCTAAGCTCTATACTAAACATTAAATCTGTTACGAAAAAAGAACTAAACAAAATGAACACAAAACAATCAGCTTTAAAAAAGAACTCATAACTGGAAAAATGAAAAAAGGAAATGAAAAAGAATGTTAACAACAAATAGTTTTTGGAACAGACCCAACCCAGTTCTATGGAATGAGCCAATTGGAGTAAAGTGCCATGCAGATTTAAATTTTTCCCCACTTGTGACGAATGCAGCTATCGATTATTTTTTTTGCATGCTAGTTAACATTTGTGTCAGTCAGCTGTTGGCCAATAAAATCTTCCTGCCTATTCATGGCAGCCAGCTATAGGCTCTCACTCTGGCCAGTACAAAATGGCTGCAAACTACATGAAAACTGCCATAGAAGCATGAAAAAAATCGATTATTTCGACTATCGATGGGAGTTGGGAAATGCAAAGTTGGTCTTGGCCTTCCCGCTAACTTGGAGCACGTGCATGTAAATTTTGGTGCAAATTGCGGCCATGCATGCGTTACACACACACACATCCTGCCTTTTATATATAAATATATATATAAAAAAAATGTTCATAATAAGACCTAATAAATTTTTGTACCCTCCTCAAACAGATTATTTATATATCTTTAGGTGATTCTTGTTGATAAGAAAAGGTTTAGTATGCTTTCTTTGATAGCCTCTATGTTTAATCTTTGAAAGGCAATTTTCGTTCACATGCAATGCATGGATTTTGCCCATGAATATTTGATTTATTCCTGCTGTTGCTGCTCGAATATTTCAGATTTGGTCTCTGTATTTAGTCTCAAATTTCTTTATTTCATGATGGCAAATTTTTCTCTATCATGTCCAACCACATGCAGAGGGGTTGTGGGAAATTTATCCCGGCTTTCCCCACATGAAAGGGTAATGGTTAAAGATGATAGAATCAATAAAAGCAACAACAGCTTGAAAGTTTAGAGCAGACAATTCTCTCTTTTAGGCGGAAGAATAAAGGCTCAAACTCCTGCTCAGAGTGTAACAATAGAAGAAAATGTTTATTTACATACACAAAAAAAGGTAAAGGAATATACACAAAATATGAGAGAAAGAAAAGGAGAAGAAACTTCCCTTACCTTAAAGGAAGAAAAAGTGTTCATATAAAGGATTGCTCAAAATATTTCTGAGTGCCTAAATGTTCTTTAAGCAAGTAAATTGTTCTTAAGGGATTAACACTAACATAGATTTCTTCAGAGCACTTGTTGAGGAAGAAACAATCCATAATTTGTAGTTGAGTAAGTTCATAGGCTGACAACAGGAATTTCTAGATCCAAGGAAGCAGATTTCAATTAGTTTTTAGTAGAGGGCCAATATTCTGCCTTTAGAACTCAGCATGTAGATTTCTTCCTTGAAACAGATTCCAAAGATGATTTGATTAGTTTTTAGTAAGGGGGTGACGTTTTGTCTTTAGAGCCTAGCATGTAGATTTCTTTCTTGAAACAGGTTGCAGTGAAGACTGGTGTTACTGTCGCCAAACTGATATCACAGACGATATCAAATAGTCACAGCCAAAGAAGCGCATATTCTCTGTATTTATTGAGATTAAAAGGCTCAGAAATATCGGGAAGTTTTCCTTCCAAAATTGCTATACACTTTCACTGGCCTTCTCATTTGTCAGAAAATATATTCTTATCTCTGATAAGAATCAAAGGTTTGAGAGCTGGTTTTTGGAAACAAGGATCCAACAGGTTGTGAGTATCAAACTTTATGATACCATGGTCAGGGCAAGGGTGTTCAAATTCCTTTTTCTATTTTCCACTTCTCTCATTCATCAGAAAATATATTCTTAACTCTGATAAGGATCAAGGCTTTGGGAGCCAGATTAGAAAGCAGGAGTGAAAGTTGGGGCAAAGATCAGAAAAGAAGCTAGAACTTGTAAAACATAGTCATAGTGGTTCTCAAATTAAATTCCAATACTTGTTGCAGAAACAAAATCCCATTGTTTTACTCTCAAATATGCTCACATGGAGTAAGATATGGATGAATTAATCCAATTGGAATTAATTAATTTGGAAATACATTTAATTTAGGAATATTTTAAAAGAGTCTTACAAAAGGCATAAGGTTTAATTTTCCATGAATAAATGTGACCAATCCAACCTGGGAAAAATATAGAAATAATAATGTAATTTTATTACTAAACTTATTTTAAAAGAGTAAATCAAATTAATCACATATTTGAAGTCCAAAGTTCTTTGACTTTAGGAGCCTAAAATGAGGAAACAATACTAGCCTGAAATTCTATGATTCTGGAGGCTTTAGTGCGTATAGAATCCTATGATCAAAGTTTATCAAAATTTTGAAACTTTCTTTCAACGAGCAAGTACATTTTTTGAATTTTTATAAAAGTGAACTTACTAAGAATGAGTATACTTTCAATTTAAGTAATCTAACCTATCCCATTATAGAAAGGAATAGATGCATTAAAATATAAGTTTACAATTAATATTCAGTGACCAAAGTTCTATGACTTTGTGGGCCAAGAATCAAAGAGTCAATACCATAACCAGCCAAAAATTCTGATTTTGGAGGCACTGGCATGCAAATCCCCACAAAGATGCCTAGTAAATCAATGTTCATGTTACTACCAAAGCAGTTAAAAGTCATACCCAGGTCACTGGTGCAGTTTAACATCATGCCCAGGACAAACACTTAGTTGCAGTTTAGTGTCATGTCCAGGATGCTGGTGCAGTTTAATGTCATGCCCAACACACAGGATCTATTGGAAATGCACTTAACCCATTTATAGCAGGAGAAGTGTTTTGATCAGTAAGTGTAACAGCAGAATTGTCCAGACAGGAGAGACTGTATCATTAGGAGGTGTTTTTGGATTGTGGCTATGGGCATAAATGTTTGAGTGAATGGACTTTCACATTTCTATCCACTTTCTTAATCTTATTATTAGCATCACTCATAATCAGTCTGAACTCTACCCAAAGACTAATAAGGTCTGGATTCAGTAGGATAAATCTTGATAAATCTTAATATTTCCAACATTCCTATCATACAAATCCTTGCACTGTGCCCTCAAATCCAAGAGATATTCCTAATACCATAAATCGTTAAACCCATGCAAAAAATAATCTCTAGTTTTCTATAGCCTTGACGATATTAGTTCTAACTGGGGGATCCGAGCATACAGGCCTTACTTCACTTACATAGAGCAGCAAACCTTCACTCAAATAAGGACAAAGAAAGGACTTTGAAGTAATTATCTATAGATCAGAATCAGAGGAGCAACAGTAAGTAAGGGATCCGGAATTTATTGCTCTTTGAATGTCTGTAAGAGTAGTAAATAATTCAAAATACTCGACCTGAGATCTACCAATGGTCTTGTATAGATATAACTTGATAGTTTTAATCATACACTCCTACACACTGCCCATCCAAGCAGAGTACAAGGGAATTGTAAGGTGTTTTATGTTAAATACATCAAATCTGTCTACGAACTCATTGGAAGCCAAGAATTCATTTACGAAATTGCAACCCAGAACGAATGACTGAGTATTATCATTATAAATGTGGGCAGTAATATTGTAGATGTTGATAAATTGAATGAAGGCAAGTACAAAGGCACTAAGAAATTGTTTCACCCTAACAAAATCAGAGTCCATGTGGGGCTTGGACTCACTGATCTGCCTGAATATTTCAGTGACAATAAATTCATTGTGTAAAAATTTCTCCTTTAATATTTGTATGGCAGAATCATAATTATCATTGTTGATAGCTAAGTGCTGCATTATCTGCAAGGTGTAGCCAGTTAAATATCCTTGCATATACTGTAACTTCATAGTCTTTGACTTAACATTGGTCACACGATTTTCAAACTGCAAAAGAAAATTTTTGAAAGCAAACTTATCCTTATCACAGTCCTTGCCATTGAAAGT